GATTCATTAAAAAAACCAATTCCAAAGAATCATTCATTTGGGAACCTGATTGCTCTTTTTTTTATTTTCTCAGTGCAGACAGTGAAGACAACACAATATGAAGATTTGATATCAATTTATTGTGTTTGTTTTGTTTTGTCTTTCTTATCACAATCAATATTTCAATGCCAGATTTACTAAGGGAAAATGTGCGTGAGACCGCAATTCCATAAAAGCGCCATTGGGAGTGGAAAGTTCTGCTGGTGATCTACATTACAGACAAATGTGCAAATAATTTCCATAATGACCAATACAGTCTACCAAAAGCAGCGCAAATTAGCAACTGTCACAGCTGCAAAATGGGTTAAGACATGTGCCGCAAATACCAGTAAACTGACTACCACAAATCTTTATTTAAATACTCTCCTTCCATAAAATTTGCGTCTGTAAGGGAATCTCTTACAAATGCTTATGCAATAAGGACAGCTGAAAAAATATGCCTTTTCATTTCTAGTTTTTCACTGCATGTCTTTAGTAAATTCTGTCAGTTGTTTTGCAATGCCAAAAGAGGGTTTGCATTGGTGCTGTTAGTAAATCTGGCCCTAAGTGCCTACATAAGAAACTGTTTGTACAAGAAAGTTTAGATACACAATCACATTACATTTAATCATTTAGCAGATGCTTTTATCCAAAGCGACTTACAAATGAGGACAATAGAAGCAATCAAACCAACAACAGAGCAAACATATGTAAGTGCTGTGACAAGTTTCAGTTAGTCTAATGCTGTACACATAGCAAGTTTTATTTTTATTTTTTTTAATAAATAAAAAGAAAACACGTACATAGAATAGAAAAAGAATAGAGAACGCTAGTGTTATAAGGTCATTTTTTGTTTTGTTTTGTTTTATAATAAATATAAAGAAAACAAGTAGATAGAATAGAAATAGAATAGAGAACGGTAGTGTTAGAGGGTCAGCGTTTTTTTAATAAATAAAAAGAAAAGTAGGTAGAATAGAAATAGAATAGAGAGTACAAGTGTTAGTGGGTCAAGCTTTTTTTTTTTAACAAGGAATTTCTACTGCTGCTGAAAAAAATTATTGTGTGCATGTGAAAGTCTCAGGTTTTTGATGTATGAGATGTCATTTAAGGTGATGTGTACAATTCAGACCATCAACTCACTGAAATTCAGTTGACTATAGTGTAAATTTAGTAGCGATTGTGGAAACAAGCTTACATTGAAGAACTGTTAATGGAACCAAACATCATGTTTAGAAAAAAATAAAATAAAATAAAAAACACAAAACTAGCTCTGAATAAGGAACTGGCTCTTGATTCCCACCCTTCTGGGGCCTTTATTAAACTTTTCCTTTAATCTGTCTTCAAATCCCACTGTGCAAACTTCAATCTTCCTTTATCCTCCATGTCAATAAGGCTCATGATGAGTTTCTTTCTGCCTCGGTGGAGTGAAATGAATAGTAATGCTGATTGGTTCGAATCCCATGGGGTCTCTGATGTTGTTTCCATCGCATGATATGATTATATGTCTCTCTGCTCTTGAGATCTCTAACTCAGTAGCGATTGTGGAAACAAGCTTACATTGAAGAACTGTTAATGGAACCAAACATCATGTTTAGAAAAAAATAAAATAAAATAAAAAACACAAAACTAGCTCTGAATAAGGAACTGGCTCTTGATTCCCACCCTTCTGGGGCCTTTATTAAACTTTTCCTTTAATCTGTCTTCAAATCCCACTGTGCAAACTTCAATCTTCCTTTATCCTCCATGTCAATAAGGCTCATGATGAGTTTCTTTCTGCCTCGGTGGAGTGAAATGAATAGTAATGCTGATTGGTTCGAATCCCATGGGGTCTCTGATGTTGTTTCCATCGCATGATATGATTATATGTCTCTCTGCTCTTGAGATCTCTAACTCTCGGGCCCCTCGGCTATGATTCGGTGGTGAGAGCGATCACTGTTGTCATTAACAAGGAGCCTCGAGATGTGAAATGTTGCGCTCAGACTGCAATGCGGGCAAACCGGAGGGGAGGCCGGGGTAATAATGGTGTGTGTAATGATGTTTGTGTGATCAGCGCCCACCGCTAGAGCTGCAGGCTACGACAAAACACACGCGTGTCTGTGTGAATGAGGACGACCCTCTAAACAGACGTGACTTCAATGGAAAAAGAAAGGCAGAGGCGGGAGTAACAATGAACTATTTCAGGCAAAAGACTTACCCAGTCAAGCATAGACAACATGCATCCTAATAGTCTGGCTGGCTAGGTTTGAATCTCTGAGACGAGAGGTCAAAGGGTTGGGAGAGAATTAAACTGCGGAAACTAAATGAGGAGGGGAAATGTTTCAAGATATGAAATGTTGGCAAATAATTCACTGCCTAATATCCCACAATCCTGCATGCATGCATTTCAAAGACTGGTTGAAAGAATAAAAATGGAATTTGAAAGTGACTGGTTAAAAGAAGTATATTTTCTATAAATGCCATTTATCTGACTCCATTTTTACTGATAAATAAGCATGGTAGTCAGTGAGTATTTGCTTGGCTGTGCTTAAAACTCACTTGACTTTGTTGTTGACCATTAACCCTGACAGCAATTCAGTTTCATTAACATTCTTAAAGTTTCCCTATTACGCCATTTTGAATTTTGCCTTTCATGCTGTGTGTATTGTAGCTGTCTGTGAGTCGACGGGAATTCGAATCCCACTTCCGTGACGGCTACACGTCAATGGGGAACACATTTTCATAATGCCCGACTATGTTCTATGTTGGCCGGCTGTGAACAACTTGACTCCGCTCGCAAACACTGTAGCTTGTTCGTGTGGTTAACATCATGTCGAGAAGACGCTGTGTCCTACGCTGTGAAAGTAAATGTATTTTCACTTCCGAATGAAGAGGCTGCAAAGAATCAGTGGTTGACATTCGTTTTTTCAATGATACCACAGCAGTACAGCCCCAATCTTTTATTTTTTTTGTGTTCCCCTAATTTTACTGATGACTGCACAACAGACTGGGCCGTCTGACCAATCAGAGCAGAGTAGGCTCACGGAAAGGAGGGGTTTAGAGAGACTGAATCTTAGAACTGCTTCGTATGAATCATTTACGAATCATTGAGAAATGCAGTGAAATTAAATGTATATTATGAAAAAACTAAAGCGTTTTTTGACCTTGCATGCATGTAAAGCTGTTGTAGGAGACTCCCAAAACAATATTAGGAGCCTTAAAAATGGCATAATAGGAGCACTAGAGGTTTATGTCTTTTTGTGGACAAAACAGTCTGGAATTTGTTTGAGAGAGCTCAAAGTGTCTTGTAGAAATTGAAATCAGGCCTTTCTTGTTAACACATTAGATATCTTAATAAGTGTTTACGCAGATGTGCGGAATGTCCCATCTCTAGACACTCCGCCTTTAAGAACACAAGACAGTGAAGTAATAGATCACAAAATTCAATTGAACACAACTGCTTCCACTGAATACAAAGAGAGAAATTTTGAAGAATACTGATGCTGCTTTTTATAATAAAATAAGAGTGAATCGGTTTAGGTGCTTTTAAGCTTCAAAATGACACAAAAAGCACTATTAAAAAGTTTTACTTTAGGCCTTTATAAGCCATACAATGGCTTTCTGTAAATGATCAGAGGAATTTCATTTTTGAGTGAAATGCTGCTTTAACGTTAAACATGCTCTTGGTTTGGTCACACTCATGTCTGTTATATTGGCTTTGTGACTGATGTCATGGGAAGTCAGACTGATTTCCATGAATAGTTCATTAAAAAAAAAAAAAACGTTACAAGAGGCTGTCCAAAATGCTGGTACTTAAGTTTTTTTTAATTTTATTCTCAACATTTCTGATGAAGCTTGATGTAGGCATATCTTTTTATTATATTTTTTCCTCACAAATGTTTTATTATTAAGGGTTTATTGTAATTTCATGTGTCACACACTGCAAAAAGTGGTAACCTGCAATTGTTACTTTAAAGAGATATTTATACCTGATTTAACATAAAGTCGTTTTTGAGGTATAGATTAATATATTTAGGTTGATTCAGCTATATTAAAAAACATAAATTTTTGACTTCAATAAATGCAGTTAATTTTTTTCATTTCAGTCAAGTTTGTAAATGGTTCAATCTCTTGCCTAATAAATGTCTCTTGGTTTTTGCATGTTTGTCAACCATAAACATAATTCCACTACTTTTTTTGCTATTAAAGTCGGAAATGTAAAGTCCGATGAAAATGTGTGATTTCTTGAACCGGTTCATTAGATTCATTGAAAAGATCCGAATAAAAAACAATCGAACATTGCTAGGACTCAGTAGGGGTTGCACCGACTAATCGACTAGTCGACTTCAATGCTTCAGCGCGGAAATGTATTGTCAACACTGTTCTGTGATTTCTCAATAAAATAGCTTGGAAACTGAAAAGTTCAAGCACATATTTCCTAATAACTAAATTCCACAGCTTCACTACTAGTAGAGAGACGCTGCCAGGTAGAATTAATTCACACACGCAATCGCTCTCACTAGTGCATTCATATTAATGTAATCTTTACTGTGCTACTTTATCTGTATCTGATTTAGAACGAGCAGAAATCTGTGAGAAATATAACGACTTAAAGACAAAAGAACTGATAAAAAAGCTGTTATAGGAGCAACAGCCGTGTGGGCAGCACTGTGTCATATGCCATAGCTGTGCACAAGCTGTTTATCACAGCTCCAGACTTATTTGTTCATTAATGACGTCATCAGCGACTAGTCGACTTCAACTCGACTTTCATCACATAAAAGTCGACTTCAAAAAATCAGAAGTCGTTCAACCCCTCGGACACAGTAGAAGGAAACAGTGCGTGAAGTGACATTACTCACGTGAACTGCTCTAAAGCTGGATAATAAGTGAATAACTTCAGCAGGAATGTGAATAACAACTAGTACTCTGTTTTAGAGAGAGTTTGGAGAGGGTGGAGGCGTGGTTTCAGGGCTCCTGATATTCATGTGGCGTTCTGCGCGCGAAGATAACGACATGCACTTGCGCTGGAAGATTATGTCATATTGAAGGATTTTGTTGTCTGAAGATAATATTGTCTAATGACAGTTATTAATTGCCAAATAGTTGTCTTCATTCCAGCCGCGGTGAGTGGATAACTTTTCTTAATATTTCCATGATGCGTTTGATATCTAGTGTAAATGCTGTGAAATTTGAGGTTGAAACTGTCAAAGTTGAGCGTAACAGACGTTTGTGTTACTTACATTTATTTTTTGTCGAATGTAGATTATATTTTAGTTTGTATATATTATCCAAAAAACCATCAGCATTGGTAAGGAGACAACTAACTGTTAGATGCATGTCACAATATTATGAAACAGTGCGCGTCAGGCTCAAGAGGATAGTGTAGTAGCATCATTCTTACAACATGAATATGCATAATCATTTCCCCACGAATCTCACTTTCTCTGCCATTGTATTTACTATAGATACAAAACAATACCGAGCTCTTATTTTTCTTACGTGTCTCTTCATTTTCTCTGTTACTGTAAGAATATGGCACATCATTGACACAGTGGCCCCAAAATATTTGGACACTTAAGCAACAGTTAAAAAGGTATGATTTTTATTTAATTGGAAATACCAAGTGGTAATTATTTTAAAGAAACATAGCACAAACACCCCTACAGTATAATATTTCCAAAAGGATGCTTGTTTTGGAAGATATACTTTTCAAAATGAAGACTGAAGTATTTAGACACTTTCTGGTTTTCAAACTGAAAGGGATAGTTCTCCCAAAAATGAAAATTCTGTCATCATACTCGCACTTATGTTGTTCCAAATTTGTATGGGTTTGTTTTTTCTGTTGAACACAGAAGAAGATGTTTTGAAGAATGAACAACATGAGGGTGAGTAAATGATGACAGAGTGAACTATCCCTTAGAAGTGTGCATTTTTTATTTTTTAAATGCTCTGTTTCTTTGAGCAGCCAGATCAGCACATTATAGCAACGTTAGCTCAACCGATGGTGTGAGATTTGGGCGGGACTAACTGTTTGCCTAGCCAATGGCCAACGGGAGTGTTTGGGAAACCTGTTTGGAAACATTTGGTCAGTCATATTTGTCATTTACTAAATTTGATGAAGAACCTTTCCATTGCTGACAAATGACAATGTAGTCCCACATTCTGTAGATATACAGAAAGAGCACTGAGAGCTCAGTTTAAAATGTCTCAGATTAAAATGTTCTGGTCCTCTCCCAGCTGCCTCAATATTAAATAAAAATATAATGTTAATGAAATTTTCCTCGGTTTGTTGTAATGATAGCTAATTAGCGATGCTGAGCAGTATAATCTCCACCCATATGTTCTTTAATAGCAGGGGCCTTAAGTTAATAGGACAAACCTATTAATGATTTAATAGGCATATTGCTCACGAAGAGTCTTCATGCCTCTTTATTGTGTCTTCAAGAGTCTTAACCACCCCCCATCTCCAGGCTGTGTGTGTGTGTGCGCGCGCACTTCTTTGTTGTCGCTGCCTCATAGTGTTTGTTAAGGATCTCAAGATCTCAAAGAGCATCCAAAGACCAGCTGGATTCCCAGAGTGTGCTGAGATGAATTGGGCTCAGAACATCAGCTGCAGACTCTTCTATCACGAATAAAGCCATGGATTTGGTAGAGGAAGCTCATCTCAGAACAGTATACAAGCGTCTTCAGCAGCAGCAGAATGTTTATACCATGTGGCTCTGTCATGGAAACACTACCCCATAATCACCAGCACACACTCCTCCGGCATCCAACCAAACTGTCTTTTTGATCAGAGTGGCCACATCATAATGGAATGTGCACTCTGATATATTTTGAGCTGTAATTGGAGTTTTGCCTATGACGGTATGCATCAGAAATACTATATTTGGCATAATCTTCTAAAAATGTTTGGTTAAAGGGACAGTTCACCCAAAAAATGAAAATTCTGTCATCATTTACTCACCCTCAAGTTGTTCCAAACCTGTGTGAGTTTCTTTCTTTCTTCTGTTGAACAGATATTTTAAAGAATATTGGTAAGCAAACAGTTGCTGGTATAGCCGCTGACTTCCATAACAGTGAAAAACTACCTATAAATACCTATAAAGGTCAAAATACCTTCTTTTTTCTGTTCAAAAGAAATGTAGTTCATGCAGGTTTGTAAAAATGTGAGGGGGTGAGTAAATAGATGGCAACCTTCTGGGTGAATTATTTAAGCAGGCTTATGTTGTTTTCAGACCTAAAGGTTAAAAGGATGAAAAAAAGTTTTTCAGTCAGTAAAGATGCACTCTGGATATTTAAGGGAATAGTTCACCCAAAAATGAAAATCCATCATCATTTATTCACACTTATATTGTAACAAACCCATACGGCTTTGGAAAAAGACCGTTCTGTAGAACTACAGTAGACAGTGACCCGGGGCTAACAAGTTCTATAAAAATATCATAAATATAGTTCATACAACTTGTGCATGTTATTCCAAGTGTTCCTACTTCATATGGTAGCTTTGTATGAGGAACAGATTGATTAAAATAGTTAGGTCAATGACATATGCTTATTATTTGTCTAGATTTTTTAATTGATTTAAAACTAAAAATAAAAAAATGCAGTGATTATACACCTCTTCAATGATGAAAATTAATGTAGTTTTTTTTTTAGAGCATAAAGTAAAACATTTTGGATGATACAACTGTCCTGATATCATAATGAAGTTCAAGTTGTAAAATGTATGCTGAGTTCCATTTACCTCAGAAGTATGATGTCGGAGTTGGGAATGACGTCACATCCGAGTTGACCGTGTTCCAGAAAACCAAGACGGACAAGTCCAATATAGCAATACCAGTCGATAAAAACAGATATAAAAGAGGTATCACATCCACATATTGGATAGTACTGTGTGCACCACTGAGTTTAGTGAGACACAGACAAACAGAAGTGCTAATAACAATATATTACTAGTTGCTTATATATTAATTGTTGTAGTTCCTGCAAGTTTCTGAGTCGGAACTCGACTTGAGTAGGCATTCCAGTCAAAAGTTTGTACTGAGAACTCGGAACTTCTGACTTCAAATCGCATTCCCACATGCGTGTATTCACACTTGGCTCTTTACAATGCATTAATCCCAGTATGACATAATTGGTTCTCGTAAGTGATCGTGATGCATTCTCATTTCCCTTTTGGTATAGAAGCCTCATGCCTACTGCAGTCACTACACACTAAATTTACAGCTGACTAGCAGTTTGATTCCATCTTTTGATTGTGACAAATTAGCTCTGTTGTTTGATTTCAGTTGAGTGTAAGAGCCAGGTAACTGCGCCTGGACATCTGGCAGTGTGGCAATTGCATGCCAAGTTTATTCAGTGACGCTAATGCACCTGATAATTGTTGGTAAATTGTAAGCACATGGAGCTGCAGTGAAGAAACGTAATGCTGAGTTTGGTCTAACGTTTCTGAGGTTGAATTCTGTCCAAGCGTCATTTGGGCTTGTAATGTCTTTGTGCATCTGATCTCTGTCCAAAGTGTCACAGTGTCTTCCACTGCGTGAGTGACAACCAAGCAAGCGGCACGAATGGAAATGATTATAACTGTTTGAAAAATGATATTGCTATTTATGCTCTGCCTGCTAATTCATTAGTTATGGTTTTTGTTTTCGGACCTAGATTTTACTTTGGACATCAAGTAGCAACCCAACACTACCAAAATCATCAAAAATGTTCTAAAAATCTCAATAAATGGTAAGCTTTTTCTCCTCCATTTTCAAAAGTTCATAAGTCAATTTATTTTGCTATCATAAACATGCATGCTTATATAAATAATTTTTAATAGCATTTAATATCGTTTCCCTGCTGTATATAACTCTGTATAAAATCCTCCTCAGAACTGAGCTTCAGTTGGTTTTTGGGTCATGAACCACCACTTGAGGACCAGTCTGCTATCACACCTGTCCCAATTAACACAGCCTACTTGATGGGTCAGGAATAACCCTTCTTGTATCAAAGCTAGGTAAAATTAGATAGCGCTTGTTTGTTTGTAATAATGTGGCATTCTCTGGTGACTAGGGATGTAACGATTAACCGCGAGCCGGTTGAAAATCGATTCAAATACGTGACGATTCAAATCGGTTGAGATGCTAAACAAATCGCGATTCAATTAGGGGCAGGAGTTTATATGAATGCATGTCTGAGTGGAACTTACTGTCTTTAGAAATGTTTAGATGGTATTTTTTCTTTTCATCTTGCCTCTGTATAATGCATATTAAAGTTCATAAGTGCAGCGCTGCTTTGTTTACAGCGGAAACCAAGGAAACGCTTTAAGCGCCACCTGCTGGCAGAGAGTGAATCTGCGTCTAGTTCAGCTCGTCTGCTGTTTCGGAATCGAATCGAATCGTGAGTTGAGTGAATCGTTACATCTCTACTGGTGACCTTTTGAGCTGCAGAGTTCACGCCGCCTTTCCGCTAGAATACTGATGAAGCATTGTGAGCTCTCAGCTGCAAAGGTCATATTACAATGATCGCAAGGGTGGTGGATTTGTCATTGTCTTATTGATTTAACAGCACACACATTATTATTAGTCTGCGTTTGAGCAAGGTTTGAAGTTTTTTTCCCCCTTGTGAAAAATAAGTACATTTTAGCATACTTTTAAAAAGAGTAGACTACTTTAAATGAATATACTAAAATGGACCCACTTTATATTAAGTGGCCTTAACAACTATGTACTTACATTTAAATGAATCATTTGGTACAATGCACTTATTGTGTACATACATGTTTTTACATTGTACTTATATTTTATATTTTATAAGCGTGTAATTACATCTGTAATGAATTTCTGTAATTACATTTATAATTACACTGTTGACCCATCCCTTACACCTTAACCCACCCTTAAACCTACCCATACCACCAAACCTGTCCCTAACCTTACCCGTATCCCACCTCAATAGCAGCAAAAATGTTTTGCAATACAATATGAACACAATAAGTACATTGTACTTATTTTTTGATGTAAGTACATAGTAGTTAAGGCCACTTAATATAAAGTGGGACCACTAAAACTAAATGTTTTTGGACAATTAATTGTATATTCATTAAAAATTAAACCAAGATGTATTGTAGTTTAAATTTAAATGCAATTAGCTGAACTTTAGTTGCAATTTAGTACATTTAAATATATTACCTTTCAATTAAATATAGAATAACACACTACAATTAAAATGATAATGAAAGTACTTTACATGTGGTTTTGTATGTTAATACATCAACATAAGTGTACTTCTTTAAAGCATGAAAAAGATTCTTAAAACATAATTATTTAAAATGTACTATGAAGTATTTTATTACATATGGTGTTATTACAAAGTGCTCTTTTTTAAGAGTGTCCTCTTTAAGTACACTTAAGTCACCTTTTATTTTATTAATATTATATTACCTGCAGGTATAGTTTTTTAAAAATGTACTCTTTGCATATAAATGAAATTTAAAACGATACAGTAGATCACATTATCAAAACAAAACAAACAAGAACTGTTTAGCTATAATAGAAGCAGTGGGACAGATCAAATCACTAAATAATTAATTATAAGTAAAAATAAAACAGGTTAGAGTTGGTGAGAGGTAAACAAAAGCTTCTGATCATAGTAACGCTTTACAGTTTATTTTTAAAATTTTTTTTATAAATGTTGTGGGGAGTCTTTGTTATAATCCCAATACCATGCAGTTTTACATGTAGGATCTCAGTTAAACACGATTAAATGTAAAATTAATTTTGACGCCCAACAACAATGCTTTATGAATATTTTAGTAAGTAATAATCCTCTTACCCGTTTTGTTTAATTGCACATTATTTTCAGAAATGTAAATACTAGACTTTGAATTTATAACATTTATATGTAAGAAAATATATAAGTAAAATGTGCCATGCACTTTTTTGCACCGCAGCTCACTTTGTGGTCCTTTTGTTGAAGATACTGAAGGTATAATTAATAAGAGTTTTCTTGTCAGGCAACATTTATTTTGTTGATGTGAAGGATAATTAACTTACTGGTCAGACTGAATTGCCAAATGTCCATCAAACATTTTGGCTTTTTGTGTGAAATGTTTGCTGACTAGGTTAGCCAGCTGTTTGTGTTTGTTTTGCTTTGGAAAAGGTAATTATTGCCATGCTGTTTAGCTTTTATCAGAGAAAAGGAGAGAAGAGAGTAACATAGAGAGAATAGAGACTGGACCTGGCATGCGTCACGTGTCTCTCCTGTTTTCATTTTTCCACTGCTAGTCATTGCAGGCTCTCAGCTCTAATCCACCCTCTAAAGTGCCTTGATGCTTTTGTGCTGTGGGCTGGAAGAAGCACCCTCTGTTCCCAGCTGTCTGGACTGCTGCCGTATGGAATTTTCGCTGGATTTTCTCCCTAATTAACCCCCATTTTCGTGTGCAGAGACCCAATTTCTTTGGGATGGAGGAATGCGATAGGTATTGGTGATCCTTGAGTTCTGTTGTTTTTCGCTAAGCCTGGCTCAAACTCAACACTGGGCCGCTTGTTGGGGCGCAGCAGAAGCATGTAATTGAACAAAGGCCATGGAGACGGTACAACACTGGAGAAGGCGTGATAACATCTTCACAGCTTATTTTAGCCCAGCTCAACTCAATTAGTGTCACCACATGCCCTCAGACCAGCGCTGCCAAAATTGATAGAGGCCAGTTACTAGAACAGACTGGCTTTTTAAACTTGTGACTGAAAATTTGTGTAATTGAGTTGAGTGCATTATGATCTTTGAAAACTGATTTGATGTTTGCACATTACATGTAATACATACTAAACTAGATGTGCATTTCTTGAACGAATATGTTTCCTGCAGGTCCTTAGAATGTATTAAAAATGTACTTTTTAAGGCAGAAAACAGTCTGAAATATTGTAAATAGTATAAAAATCGTTAATTGCCATTTGCAGAGGTCTTACATTTGGAGAAGGAAATAAGTACAGAAAGTATGCTGAATTAAATTTATGTAGTGCTTTTCAAAGCAGATTAAATAGGAAAGTAACAGAATCAATGATGCAAACTTCATCAATATGAGGCAAATCCTAAATTAAGCCAAAGTAAATCTGTATTTAGTAGAAAGTCTGACATCTTATCCGTTCTTCTCATTCAACACCAGTATGAAACCGAATCCAGCTCAAGCACGTGCCCGACCGCTCATCTGAACACCCTCAGCTCTGGAAGCCAAAGAACCAATGAACATCCAGCAGGGATCTTATGTGGAAAGTCAACACATGGTCAAAGGGAATTCACATTAGTCCAAATCAGACAGGGCCGCCATTGTCCTTTGCAAACCCGAACCCCCTTTTTAATTTTTTGGCATGCGCGGATTTAGGTGAATTTGCTGATTCTGGAGTCTGGACCTAACCCAGTCTAACCACTTAAGTGAAAAGGTGCAAATGTGACAGAATGCAAGAATAGTTTGCGTTTAAGTCGTTGATACCTTTGCTTCTGTTTAACCTCCTAGTTGGCAAGTCCATGTGTTCTTCTTTTTGAAGGAGAGTTAAAAGCATGGATTATTGTGGCTGACTTTAGTGCATATGTATTTGTAGTTGTTTTCCTGTCAGATGCAAAATTTATTGGGAGCAGAGTATTAAAATTAATCTTGCAACATGATTTACTAAGTTTTGCCCTAGTCAATTTACTGGTATTTGCACCATTATTTAATGCCCCAAAAAGCATGTCTTAACCCATTTTGCACCTATGTTGTTAGTAAACTATCTGCATCTGATCATCATCAGCTCTTCTTGTTTGCAACCCTATGCTAATTTGCATTGCTCTTAGTAAATGATGTTGGTTATTCTTGTCTCACGCGGACACACAAGCTTCCAAGAAATAGAGAGTTTTAGTCATGTAGCACATAATAATGAGGAGTGCTGTGTGCCCATGGCTGTAATTTTGGGAGCCGTAGGTCGGTTAGTCTAGGCGTCCGTTTGGGTGAGGGGGGCACTGAGCGGTTCGGGGGCTTACTGTGGTCACACCACACTGGAAACTCAAGGACCTCGATTCAGCCGCTCTGCTATTTCACTGTAAAATATGATCTTATCAGCATCCCGCTTGTGTTTTAATAATGGACTTTGGGAAAGCTGTGCGCCAGTGTGTCTTCTTCGTGCCGCACATTATCAAATGATCTCAGAATTGCTGTAAAATCAGAGATGACCACAACTTCTCAGAGAAATGGCACTGTTTCCAGTCAGAGAACAGGATCAGGCCGTCACTATTTTAACAGTTTGTTTTCTCTGGTTTCTCTAATGAGATTTACCACAGACTAAGTGATGGTTTTATTCCCAGTGTGCTCCAACCCTCTGGTGATAAACAGAAATGCTAAATATAACCGTTTTAAGATGGGCTCCTCATGACATCATCCACTTTTCCCAGGCCTTCCCCTCAGTATAATGATCAGCCTTCAGCCACAGTTGCTTTTAATTACACATGCAGTGTTTCTCTTCAGTTTCCAGGACAGACGACTCTTACTTTCTTCCTCATCCAGACAACTGTTTATCAGGACTTTGGCCAGCCTGCGGAAATATGACATTTGCTGGAAGTGCAGGGTGTGAATAATGGGGGATTGCAACAGGATTTTCAAACAAACCACAAACATTTGGTTACAAGTTAGTCAGACTGCATATTTTTATTCGGTGCTAAATAAGAGTCTCGTTTGCCTACCATGGTAATCACAGCAATAGTTGCATTGACAAAACATTAATGCTGTTTTTTATGAATCACTTCATTATAGTTTGTCATATCACATATATATATATATATATATATATATATATATTAGAATATTGTTTGAAATCTATGAGAAATGCAGTTTTAAGGCCAGCCCAGCTAAGCCATATAGTCTTGAGTAGTGGAACGATAAACTGGGAGCTCTGAAATCCTGTGAGATTAAGGATTTAATGTGCATTAAGCAGAGCC